GAAAAAATAAAGGAGCAGTAATATAGACCTAGGGAGGGAGGGTTATAGGGTTGGCAGTGTACCAGAATTCCTACTGAGGTATTTTATTTTTGTTTTGGCCAGTTCATTGTCAAAAGAAGCTCTCTTTTAGTAGAACGAATAGATAGACCAAACTTGGCTTTTGGGAAAAGCATTTTTTTCTTTAGAGAATGTATCTTTGGATTTTATATTGGGAGCAAATAGGCAGATTATATTGTAAGATTAAGTCCTCATAACCTACTTTGTTAGAAAGCCTCTATTCTGTAAAGGAGGAATTGCTATAGTTACTCATTATTGCTTATTTAACATTGTTTTTTGAGAAAAGACTAAAATGGGAACATAAATTGAACTCAAGTATTTAATTAATTTAGGTAGAAATTAGTATCAGAGCGATGTATTGAGTCAAACAGGCTTGGGTTAAAATCCAGTTTCACTTTTACTGGTCTTGTCATTGGATTTCAGTTAGTCACCATGAGTTTCAGTGTCCTCATCTGTGAAATAGGTCTTTACTTCATAGGGCTTTGATGAACTATATGAAATACCTGGCAGATAGTACGTAGTAATTGTTGACTGCCGTTCTCTCTGTTCTTAAATACATTTTAGAAAGAAAAAACTCGGATTTTTGGACATACTGAATATTAATTCACAAGAGAATGAGGTGGAAGGAATCCTAGAGGGTTTAAAACTTAATTATTTGAATTGGCCCAGTTGAAATACTGAGCCTTATTGAAAAGAATCCATATAATTTATAGAATTGTTTACTTAGAAGAAAGACGATAAACATTCACATGTCCTTTAAATGGGTATAAATTAAAGAAATTAAGTTTTAATTTCAACAGAGGCAGATCACCCATTCAGAGATGATAATTCATTAGTGTATTTTTGCTTTAATTTTTTCAATAATGTCAAAGGAAAATTTCTCATATTTGTGTTTCAGATAGCATCTTATTTTGTCAACATGTTTGTTTTTACTCAAGTGTAACTTATATGGTAACAGCAGAACTAAAATAATATTTAAACTGATTTGTATTTTAAAAGTATTTTCATACTGGAAGAAAAGATTTGGTTGCCCATCACTTTGAATAACTTTCTATGTGATAAGTTATTTTAAAAGTCTGACGAATTAAATTAGTGAAGTGTTTTATTAGATTACTGTGGACTAAGAGTTACGAATATTTCCTGCCAATGTACTTACTATTTTGTATTATCATCATATATTTGGAATCGATTGATTAAATGCTGTTGCACGTGCTAGTTTAACAGCCCTTTACAAAATAAAGAATGGTTGATATATATACATGAATTAGTAGACCTCACATATAATAAATATACTTAAAAGTAAGCTTTATATCAATAATGAATTAAAAAACAGGCCATCTGTTTAAAAAGCAATAAATGTTAATACATGAGCTCTCTTACAAAGAATAAACCAGAGCATAAGTAGTTGACAGAACAAGAATCGTCTTTATTAAACCTGCTTACAGCTGCTACTATGCCTTTTCTTTGTCAAGATAAAAATAAGACAAGTGATTGTATGAAAGACGGAACAAAGGAAATTGTTGATTCCTTAATGCATTTTTAATCTGATTAAACTGATAACAAATTTATAGGTGTATAGACCACTATGTTAAAGATTTTGCCTGGTAGCTTCATCTTTTATACTTTACATACTCAGTGTATTAATTTCTATTTTACTGTGCCTATTTTCATTAATTTATTTATGATGTGTAATTTTTCTGTTTCTATGTAATAAAATTGAGGGTATTATTTATATAATATTAAATTTGTTTTAGCTTTTCTTAAAGTGTGTGAGGGAATATACTGTATTGCTTATTCCTTAAAAAAGATGTATATAATGAAATGGATTTGTTTCTATACAATTTTTTAAATTATGGTAAAATAAACTCAAGATTTAGTTGGTTTTTATCTTTTAGTGATCTCTTTTATAGGTTTATTGATTATCTCTTATAAAACATACACATGTAATTCTTATTATAGTAAAACAGTCCTAGGGATTATTTGATGTACTGTACTTTAGATAGAAAAAGCAGCTGCAATTAATTTAAGAGATTGCTTTAAATCAGGTCTTCTTAATTGGAATTTTGTGAATGAACTTTTGTGTTGATAACTTTCCTTCATTATATGCAAAGTAGAGTGTATACATATGGGGGAGGAGAAAACACCTACACTTCCTTAATACTTCTGGAGGGGAGTGTAAACACACAAAAATAAGGGTAAGAACCATTAGTTTATATAAGAAAAATCCTCAAATATTTTAATGATCCAGATTATAGGAAATGCAAATAAATGATTGATATAGTAGTTTTAATATGTAGATAATGTTAGAAACACTGTTATGTCAATCTCATTATCTATTTGCTTATGCTCTTTTTAATTTTATGCAGATGGAGGGAGCGAGGAACCACCGGATCGAAGACAGTCAAGTGTAGACTCTCGCCAAAGCCGCTCTGGGCAAGGTAAATTTTCATCAAATTGATTATTACATTTCAAAAAATGACGTTAGATATTTCTTTCTGGTATTTAGGATATTGGCATGGTATAGTTTAGATATTCTAGTTTCTCATTTAGGGTTTAAGTGATATGATGTAAAAATCTATTTATTATTTATTCATGATAAAAGAAATTTAAATATTGTCTAGTGTCTGTTTTTTTAAATAATATTAAAGTTTAATTTTGAAGCATTATGGTAATAACAATAACATTTGTTGGAGTATCATCACATCTGGCTTTTTATATTTCAATATAATATTTTTTGTCTTAGCCCTCTCTCAGAAGAAATGGTTTTTGTTGGTAGTTGCTATATTTTCTTAGGATCTTCCAACTTATTTTCCTTTCCTATTTAAACTTTATTATCATAGGCCACTGGTTAGTTTTTGAAGGGACAACTTTAAAATTAGCCAAAGACATTCTGAGTCAGTGAAATCTCCAGTTAGACCTTTTCTAACTAACTTATTTAACATTGCATGACCACCAGCTCTGCGTTCCTTCTTCTTGATAGTACTTACTACCTTTTTATTTATTCTGTTGATTTTCTCTGTTCAAAACTAAGATGGATGTTCCATGATAGAGGTGGCTTTTGTTTATTTTCTCTGTTCAAACTAGAATGGATGTTTCCATGAGAGTAGTGATAGCTTTGTTCACTGCTGTATCTTAAGTGCCGGTAATAAGTACATAGTATATAGTAGTCACTAAATAAATGGTGAATGAATGAATTGATCTCAACGATAATCAATTCTGATTGAGAACCCAAACTGGTGAATAGATTATAAAATTTCAGGCAGTTATTTATCGAGTTTGGTTTTCAAAGACTCTTTAATAGCATAAAACAAAATAAAGCTCAGATTTACAAATGTGCAGCTTTTAATCCTGTAAAAGCCTCAGATTTACTTATTCTATAATTTTGTCCCTCTTTTCTCCAACTTTGCGTTTCCCAGGTTTTAGAGTTGTACTATTTTTATAAAATTTTTTGTTGCAGAACAGAAAGAGAAATAATAGGAGTTGAAAATTTTAACTTTTGCTAATATTTAATCATACTTAAGTAATAAGCATGTATTACGAATATGTCTGGAATTTATCTTGTTCACTCTTATTTTCCTTGTAAACATATTTTGATATAAAAATGAGATTATATTTGTAAAACTCAATAAAACTAGCACAAATTAGTACTAAAATTGTAATTATTAAATGTCTTAAATTTTATGAAATGTCAAATATAGATGTGTGAAATTGCTTATCTAATTTACACTGAGCTTTGTCAGTTAAAATATTTTTCAAATCAATGAGTATAATTGAATTTTATTAACAAAGCTAAACTTCAAACAACAAAACCAGGGATTTCTGTGACCCATAATACAACTACCTGATCTTAATTTGAAGTCACCAGGAATTATATCATTGTCAGGGTTAATTAATAGTAAAAGCATGTTTCTTAACTTCTTAGAGATTTTGTTTCTAATATCTCTTTATTCAAAAGAAAGAATTTGTTTGGTTTTTTTTTTTTTTTTTGAGATGGAGTCTCACTCTTGTCCAGGCTGGAGTGCAGAGTGCAATGGCTCGATCTTGGCTCACTGCAACCCCTGCCTCCTGGGTTCAAGCAATTCTCCTGCCTCAGCCTCCTGAGTAGCTGGGATTACAGGCATGCACCACCATGCCTGGTTTATTTTTGTATTTTTAGTGGAGACGGGGTTTCACCATGTTGGCCAGGCTGGTCTCTAACTCCTGACCTCAAGTGATCACCCACCTCAGCCTCCCAAAGTGCTGGGATTATAGGTGTGAGCCACCGCACCTGGCCAGAAAGAAAAATTTTAAAAACTATCTATAATGAGTTTAAATGATGAGAAATAATATTATTAGGTGTAAAAGATGGGATGAGCATAAAACATTTGTTACCTTCAGAAACCCACTGAAAGATCAGTAAATAGGGATTAGAAGGAGACAATATCAACACAGTTTTAGAAACTGGAGAGTAGATGAATAATTGAAAACTGAACTCTAACAGTAGCAGAGGAAATCAACAAAACAACCTCAAAAGGTCTCAAAAAGCTCCGAAATGATAGTATGTGGAAATGGAGATGAAATGACAATTGGTTGAAAGTCAGATGAAGCAGCATTGGGTTTCTGGGACTTACCCCCCAAACCACCTAACCAGTCAGCTGGGCAGATGCTGAACTCCTCATCCTAACCTTTGCCAAAAGCAAAATTTATCCTTAGGAGGGGTGGGGGGAAACCAGAAACTCTCTAGCCTGGGAGACACCAGGCATAGTTGAGGGCTGAAGTTCCATGCTAAAAATAGGAGAATTGGACCTTAGCTGTCTTTCTTCTTTTTCCTATTGGGCTCCCAGAATACTGGCAGTTAGACCTTCAGATTTCAGGCAGAAGGTTGAAAAAAAACTGTCTTTTCTGGGGAATCTGACCAAAAAAAGGGAAGATAAAAGAAGAAAGAGGAAATTTAGTCATCAGAGATTCCTGAAATAAACAGGCCAGTTAGATCACTCCATGTATCAAAGCTCCAGATCAGCTTTTTAGCTCCAAATCAGCTGTTCTTAAATATGAGCAGCTAACAAGGATTACTAGATATTTGAAGAAACTCTAAATGTATGAAAGATAGAAATTAAAATAAATGGAATAAAACAACTTGGAGAGACATACATTTTGCAGAGCAAAATTACAGAACTATTATTACCTCCAGAAATAAGAGAAAATAATCATGAAACAAGAAAGAGGTACATAAAAGAGTGATATTATGACTTTTTAAAAAGGCTCTTAGACATTGAAATTCTGATAGTAAAAACCAAAAACTCCATAGAATTATCAGAGGCTAACGTTGAAAGAATCTGAAAAAATAAAGCAAAAGGACAAAAATTATAAAAAGAAATGAAGGAGGAGTGTTAAGAAAAATCACAGGATCAGTCCAGGAATTTCAGTATTCAAATAATAATTGTCAAAAGAAACAGCAGAGAAAATGGAAAAGAAATCATCAACAAAATGATTCAAGATAATTTTCTTAACTGAAGAGCATAAAGTTTCCTGATTGAAAAGGCTCACTCTGTGCTCAGTACAATGGATGAAAATAGATCCAAACTAAAGCACATTGCGGTGAGATTTGAAATCACTGGGGCCAGACAGATCGTTCATGTGTCCTAGGCCGGGAGTGGGGTGTGGGATTGAGTTGGCTTTGTACTTCTCAGTGGTAGCATTGGAAACTGAAAAAGCATCATCTTCAAAATTCTGAAGGAAAATAATTTTCAATCTCTGAATTCCATATGCATTGATACTATTATTCAAATATAAGAATAGAATTAGATATGTACATTTTCAAAAACAATCTTCCTGTCTTATGCACTTTCTAAGGAAGCTGTTGGAGGATGTGATCCATCAAAATAAGAAAGCCAGCTGAATGAAGGAAATGAATTACAAGATATAGGAAAGTCAATAAAGCAGAAAGATTCTTCAGAATGACAAGAAAAAGAAGGGGATAGAGGGCTGGCAGTTCAGATTGGAGTGGGTTAGAAGTCTACAGAAGAGTCTTCAGGAAAATGAAATTGATAGAAACCTGATGTAATTAATTGTCTTTAGAAAAGTTTTAGACAACTGATGAGAGTCCCAAGGTTGAATTGGTGATACATACATAAAATAATAAGCAAAAGAAAGTTTGGAATTCCAGGGAAAATAAATAATGTGTAGGAAAGGAGATGTTAGAATAATGTTGTCAGTTCTTCAGCAGAATCCAAAGTAGCTGATGTCCAAGCCATTCACCTCCAGTAGAAAACCTGATCAGTTAAATATGTGGTATAAATATTTTCCTTAGTTATTTGATATAGACTATTATGGTAGGAAGCAGTGCTCTAAAGGAGGTCAGGTCTGACCTGTCTCCTGTTTTTGTATGGGTGGTGTATTTGATTTGCTAAGAATTTGAATTGTTTCTGCATCTATATTCACATGGAATACTGACTTTTCATTTTCTTGTTCTCTAATGTCTTTGTCTGGTTTTAGTATCAGATTAATGCTGGCCTCAGAGAATAAGTTGGAAGTTTCAACTTCAGCTTCCTCCTCTTCAGTTTCCTAAGCTACATTGCATAGAATTGATACTGTTTCATCCTTACCATTTGATACAATTTCTCAGAAGCTAACTGGGCTTGGAATTGTATTTGCTGGAAGATTTTAAAATGTGAATTCAAGTTATTTAATAAACATAGGACTATTCAAATTATGTGTTTCTTGTTGAGAAACATTTTAATATCTGTATAATCTGTCGTGATGAAAGCATTCTCATTTCTGATACTGGTAATTTGAGTATTTTTTCTCACTGTCTTGATTATTCTGGACCAAGATTTGTCAATTTTACACATCTCAGAGAATCAGTTTCGGTTTTGTATTTGTTTTCTATTGCTTTCCTGTCTTCTATTTCATTGATTTATATTTTGTCCTTTATTATTCCTTTCTTCTGTGTGGTTTGGGTTTAATTTTATCTTTTTCTTGTTTCTTAAGGTAGAACTGGGGTCATTGATACGGGAGCTTTCTCTTCTAACATAAGAGTTTAGTGTTATAAGTCTCTCTATACTGTTTAGTTATGTTACATAGATTTTAATAAATGTATTTTCATTTAGCTCAAAATACTCTTTTCATTTCTTCTTTGACCCATGTGTTATTTTAGAAGTGTTTTGATGTAGTTTCCAAATATTCATAGTTTTTCAGATATCTTTCTCTTATTGATTCTTACTTAAATTTCACTGTGATCAGAGGACAAACTTTCTATAGGTTGAATCATTTTAAATTTGTTGAGACTTGTTTATGGCCCAGGAAATGATTTGTTTTAATAACTGTTCTGTGTGCACTTAAAAAGAATGTGTATTATGCAGTTTTAGGGTAGAAGGTTCTATAAATGTGATTCTGGTCAAGTTGATTGATAGTGTTATTTAAGTCTTCAGTATTCTTGCTGATTTTCTTTCTACTTGTT